CGGCGCGGGGGCTGGTCGCGGCCACCGCTGGAGGAGCTGCTGCCTGAGAGGGAGTCGCCGAAGCTCAGCGAACCCCGAGCACCGCCGCTTGTACGTCCTGTCGCCGTCTTCATCCTGGTCAGTGCCGGGGCTAGGCAGGCGGCCGCGGTCGTCGTCTTCAGCATCACCCAGCACAGCGACCGTCTTCCCCGAACACCCTCATGTAGAGGGTGGCATCGCCATCAAACTTGAAGTACAGGGTGCACCGCCAGCCCAGGCAGCGCGCGCGAGCAAACGTTTGCCAGCCGTGGGTCAGGGCCCCATTCCCAGAAACGGAGACCTCCAGCGAAGCCCAGGAGGGCCTGCAGCAGCAGCCGTCTGCCTGGAGCCAGAGGCCGCACCGAGCGCTGGCCGGCAGTTCACCTACGAAGAAATGGGGGAGCTGGAGCCGGGTGCTGGTTGGGTCCGCCGACTACACGATGAACTCCAGCAGCACCTCCGTAGAGCGAAAGCGTGGCCTAGGGGGGCGCACAGCCACGGCGTGCCCCCCATCGGCAACCGGGCACTCACCACCGTGCAGGGAACCGCCTTCATGGCCGCAGGAAGCCACTACGGGGACCGTGGAATACTTGCAAGGGCGGCCTAGGCCGCGCTTGGTCGGGGGGGGGGGAGTCAGGCCCTGCCTGGCAGGCCTTTCCTTTCTCCGCGGCTGAGAATCTCTTTGGAGCCATGGGAACGGCGAGTAGCCAAGAAGAAGAAAAGGAGCAGCAAGAAAGGGATGGGCTGAAGGGGCTCACGCAGCCCCGTACTTATAGCCGGAGGAGGCCAACCACCGAGCACCACGATCGCAGGTAATCATGACCGGTCTCTCTGCATGCAGGGACTTGTCAAGTCGTGCGGCCGCCGAGGCGTCGTGGGGAAGCGCAGACGCCCATGTCCAATCGATCGCCATGCGGCGCCCAAGGCCGCAGACTGTTAGGGCTCGCGGCGCTTCGCGCTTGCCCCTTCGCTTCCCTTCCAGGCCAAGCCCGGGCGCGCCTTGTGCCCGGGGGCTACTGTCGGCGTTCTGGGAATGGGGGTCCCCAGACTTGCCAGCCTGCGGCCTACGGCGTGGCTCAAGTGGGGGCCCAGCGCAGCCCATCTTCATCAGCTCAAGCTCAAGACCCTCGCGAGGGGCCAAGCCTCACGGGGCAGACGACAAAAAGCTTCCTCACAGGCAGCCTCATCAGACAGGCTCGCGAGGAGGCGAAGAGATCAAGGCAGGGGTACCTCGCGAGGAGCCCGTGACGCAAGCCATGACGATCGAGACCAGGCGGGCGCCAGACGGGCGCCGGCCTGCGCAGTGCCCTTGTTTTCCCTTTGGTGCAAAGGGGGCAAGTACAGGCCAAGGTATCGGGCAAAGGTTACCATTTCGGTGCAACGAGACCAAGACCAACAGAGCGGCAGGACGGAGGTCACCGTGGAGCCCAAGACGGCGTCATCACCAGTGCTTTTGGCAGCCTAAGACCACCTTTGGTCAGGATAACTTGTACTAGATGTTCCCCTTCAAAATGGCCAATTGTTGGCGCCCTTCCTGCTCATTATTTGGGGAGAGGCTCAGGGCCTCTATAAATAGAGCTAGCCACCACAGAGTAGGGGGACATCGAGAGATCTGATAGAGCCCTAGCAGAGAGAGAGAGAGAGAGGGGTGACTGAACTCACCCAAGCAGTTCATCGCACCAGCTCAAGAACACCCCTCGCGAGGCTGTTCTTCCCTTGTACTGTTCATCACCAGCCCCTGAGGCAATCCACCACGCCACACACTGGAGTAGGGTATTACACCACAACGGTGGCCCGAACCAGTATAAACCTCGTGTCCCTTGTGTTGTTCGTTGTTTCTAGCTTAGATCACGCGAGGAGATTGGACGTAGATCGGTAGGGGAGAGATCTCCGCGCGCACCCCAGTGTTCAAACCTCAAGAGTCTGCCGGAACCCGAAATCCGACATGTTCATCCAGCCCCAACCGGCTCGATCGATCGGGGTCCTGTTCATCCAGAGGCAACACCACGGGGTCCTGTTCATCCACCCCCACCGGGAACTGTTCATCCAAATTCCCCCGCAACGCTCACTGTTCATCCAGAGGCAGCATTGATCGGCTTCAGTTAGCAGCAGTAGCGAAGGAATCACTCGATCGGGTTCAGTTAACAGCCATCGATCGATCGCTCGGGTTCAGTAACACGTAGCCTGCAGTGCAATCGCTCGGGTTCAGTTAGAGCCCAACGCCTCGCTCGGGTTCAGTTAGAGCCAACGCCTCGCACACACACACGTACGTGTACGAGATAAACGCGCATCGCTTGGTCCCCGACCTCCCACCGTAACCGGTAACTCCCTGAAATTTTCCTCGCCGTCGCTTCTACCATGGTTTTTTTCGTCATGGGCGGCCCAAAGAATGTCATGCAGCTGCATCTCCGGCCCGCCCAGGACGAAAAGCCCATTTTCTGTCATGATTTTTTGTCATAGAAGTAGGAGCCCACCACATCTATGATGATACCGGGTTTTGTCACAATTATCTTCATAGAAGTGTCATATGTATGACAGAATTTTTTTTCGTTCGGCCCAAAATGTCACGGATGTGTCTTTTTTTTTGTAGTGTTGGTTATGCATCACTTGGGAGCCTCCAAGATCTTGTGGAGTTGAACCAAGGAGTTTGTAAGGGTAAGGAGATCGCCTACTTCGTGAAGATCTACCCCGAGCGAGGCTAGTCCTTCATGGACATAAACCATGGTGGAATAGACAAGGTTGCTTCTTCATAGACCCTTCGTGGGTGGAGTCCTCCGTGGACTCGCGCAGCCGTTACCCTTCATGGTTGAAGTCTCCATCAACGTGGATATACGACATCACCATCTATCAGAACCACGCCAAAAATCACCGTGTCTTCATTGCGTTTAATTTCTTCGATCCCTCCTTTACATTCATATGTAAAGTCTTTACTTTTCGCTGCTCAACTCTTAGACTTGCATGTGTAGGGTGTTACTTGACTTGGTAGAATTGCTAAAACTTGCCTACAACTAAATTAGGAAAATGATAATTTTTTTCGCCAAGTAGTCTAATCACCCCCGTTTAGACATACTTTTGATCCTACACACGTTTTGAATGGATGTTCAAAGGACGTTCGTGACCGTGTTATTATGCTAATATGGTGAATTTGGCAGCTGCACAATGACCTGGTTCACGGTAAGGAGGTACCTCCCATTAATATTATTGTGGAGTTCCTTGATAGCTATGTAAAATCCATCATTCTTGCTGGGACGTACACAATTGAGGAGATAGTTAAAGGAAAGATGCCAGTTATGGAAGCAGGGTACAACCGAAGGTGAGGATCCCAACCCTTGTTCGTCACTGGCCGCCACCTCCGATCAATCAAGTCGCGCTATCTATTGATGGTTCATTTTCTTTGGAGGACGGTGAGGCGGATGCAGGCATGATTCTTTGCCGTCACAATGGTTCCACTACTACAGGAATGCTTAGCAATGACGGGCGCTTAAAGCCCAGTAGTGACATGTATGCAATGCAAGCAATATTAGAGAAGACAACCAAACACGTCCTGAAAGAAAAGAGAGAGGATACGAGGGCGGAGATATATTCTTATCTGGAGAATTAAAGTAAGGCATGACCTATATGTGCCAAAAATGTTAATCGGCACAAATCCCAACACAAACTGTACAACTCAGATTTTCCAAAGCATATGCGCTCGGAAGCCATTCCGCCGCTCCCATACAAACACTATTAATATAGTGGGTACAAATCACCATGCATGTTCCGGGGTGGGATCTCACGGAGCTGCGCCCCGTGGGTGCTCTCGAGCATTTTCCCTACATATTTTTGCATCACACAATAAAATGCCCCCGCAAACAAAAAACTTGGTATGAATTGACACCTCTTTGGTCATGTCACCGAGATGATTCCTTCAGTAAAAATGTTACGAAGAAAAGAGACGCGGAGACGTGTTAAATGTCGCCACACACTCTAGGGGCACACTCATATTTATGGATTCGTTTCTTAAAGCGTAGATAGATGGATGAACCAGGAATATCCCCATGAAGAAAGGAAGAAAGTCAAACAAGGAACAAACATGCGAGAATCATAGGTGCTTGGATATCGTGTTCGCCCGCCGAGCCACACATGTGACGTGCCAAAAAAAGCTAGGAAACCATTTGCATGCCGTAACACACCCGCATGCCAAACCATCATCAGATATCGCATCAAACTTTTCTAGTGCTATGACTATGAAGCGTGGTGGCTGATTCGTCTGCCTCATCTCATCTGTGGTGTGCCGCAGTTTAGCGTGGCAAACTGAGGATCCAATCCCAATTACGCGGCTTAGTTTCATAACGCGTGAACGAATAACTGTAGGAACGAATAAATGATCCACAGGAAAAGTCACGACAGCTGGGGAAAAGAAAGGAAGAAAAACCCAGCGCCAGCAGTGGCAGGATGGTTAAAAGCGGGGCGACCGCGAGGGCAAACCCGTCCATCCCGCAGCCGCCTGCCTACCCCTAAAAACGCACGGAAGGAAAGGGCCAAGTGGCCACCCCCACCACCC